CTACTACAATAAGATTATAAAAAAATTATTTCATCATAAAAGACGTATAAAGAGATATGCTTTCAGTTATTTTATTATTTTGCTTATATTATTTCATATAGCTTCTTTGCCCACAATTTTCCACTTTTTAACAAATTGTTTATTTTTTACTGAACTTTTTTTGTATCCGTACTCTGTTTAGAATTACTGGTTTACTTTATATCATCAATCCTTCGCTAATATTACTATTTTATATGCTAGCATTTTCTGATTCAAAAATTTCTACAAAAGCAAAATGAACTTTTCTCGAACAAAAAATAATCAGGTGTTACTAAGAAACATATATCTGCAACCTACAGACAATTACAAAAGGAAGGATTTAAAGCAAAAGAGCTAGGAGACGAAAAATAGAAATAGATATCTTGTAAACGACATACATATTTGTTGCATTTGTTGCACCACCATATAAGTTCGGAGGCGCACATCTCTCTGTCGTTGATAATAATCGCTGTAAATCAGTGTCACCCTTACAGAAATCAACTAATCCTTCTGCTTTGCCTTTCGTGTTGTTATTCACTGCAATATTAAAATCAGAAAAATTTATTTCACCATTGCATAAGAAATAATAGTAATTTTAAGCCGTATTCTTAAATCATCAAAAATTATCATACCTGGACCAAATCTGCAATCTCTGTTGATAACAGCATTTCCTGATGAACAAACTGAATCTTCCATGGGGACTGTATCATCATCAACTGCTTCACCCGTTTCAGCACTTATGATTATGGGCTGAAATTAAGTGCAAATACATTACCTTGAATAAAGCAAAAAGAAAATAGATTTTGGGAAGATTTGAAGAAATTAATTAAATGTTTCTACCTCTTGCATAGTACTCGGCCGCTTCTTCGGTATGGCTGGTTTGCGTTTGCACGATGACCTAGAGACGTTGTTACCCGCTAAAATGAAATATATCATTTATACAGTACTCAAACTATGAATAATTTATTTCACAACGTTTTAAAATAATGCAATATGTAGCGTTAAAAATTAAGATTAGGAGGTATAACAAAATATTAAATTCGAAAATTGATTGTATAACAACAATAAATGAGAAATGGATATCCAAAGAGTCTGGAAAGCCTAAACCGGAACAGATCTAACATTGAAATAATATTTTCTAAATCTGAAAATTTCAATTAGTGTGAATAAAAATGAAATAATTCTGTGCAAATCAGAATAATTTTCAAGTATCACTATAAAAGCATGCCATAATGATTACGAATATGATGTGTGATTCGAATCCTTACTAATTAATGGCTGCCGCCGATCAAGGAGACTGTTTGAAGATATATTCCTGCAGCTCAGAGCTGTACTCGTGCTTGCTTCAACATCAGATATATCAGCCACCAACGCCTCCGTACTTGCTCTTTTAAGTCCTCCATCCAATCGTTTACATGACGTAATCTGCAAATTTCAATACTAAAATTAAGTTGAAATTTCTCAGAAACGTAAAATGATACCGTAATAATTACTCAAATCATCCATCTAAAAACTTTCTAAATGCTTAGAATGAAGAGATTGTGACACCAACAAGTAGAAGAGGCAATAACATTTGTGTCATTTTGCAGCGATGCCAAAAATAGTTTAAACAGGGTGAGCGGAATAGATGCCGCTAAGGAGGCAATCTGCGGAATTATCCGGCAAGAGGACATCATTATCATTCTTCCAGTTGTTAACACTTATCAAGAGTTTTAATATTGTTTCAGTTTTGCACTATCACAAGGCTGCATCATTTGATGGAAAAAGAAAAGGCAAATTAGGAGCAAGGGAGACGATTTTTCTATGTGTGCTTATCCGGAATTACAACTTTCCGGTCTTTAACCAAAAGAGATGTAAGGAAAGTGATAACAAATAACAGATCAAACCTGAAATGTAGTGGTTCCACCTGTTGGCACATCATTTGTCATGTTTGCAATGTTCTTCGATATACCTGAAAGAAATGTAATGATTAAAGAGGAAATGATGACTTGAAAATTTAGGAGGAAATTAGAATGCAAACATTCCGCATAATTTTGCTGCGCAAGTCTCCTAGGTATTAGACTTATGTCATTATAATCTAAACGTAAACAAATATATCAAGCAGTAATTTAGCTGGAATGACAATGAAATGTTGAAATGGAGCAGAAAAAAGAACAATTTTACTAAATCTCAGCTTTAATGCTTACTCCTCTCAAGATAAAACTTCAATGTTTTGAAGTTAAAAGAATGAACTGCAAATGACATTCATTTCCGGTAAATCGTTTCATAAGTTCTGTAACCGAAAATTGTGGCAACCAAGATTTCCTCTTAAATCGCTTACTCATCTTATTAATCATCAACGTAGTATCGCGCAATCGATAGAAATTTTAACTACCGCTTGTCCATGATGGAAACGATTAAGTTAGTAAAATGAGATGTAACATTGCTTTGTTAAGGTTGTGTTAAAGAGCGGGAAGGACCGTTTTTTTGCTCCATCCCGAAATCTTTCACCTTTCCGATCCACTCATAAATTATCTCGCACAATATAAACATTAGACAATAATGCTTATAAAATTTTGAATAAGAAAATGTCACTATACAATCCATTCCATTCATACCAATCTCAACAGGCGTATCTCTTGTTAAATATGAAAATCAATGATTCAAAATGCTAAAACTTACAAAATTAATCAATCAAAAAAAGCATACCTTCCATTGCTCTTCCGGTATTTGCATTTGTTGGCTCATTTCTGGGATTGTTATCTCGTGAAGTACATTCAATAAACATACTTGACATTTTCTTTTTTTTTTTCTTCACACCAAAAATTCGACTGATTTGACAGCTTTTCGTAAATGCTTACATTCAGTTTCTTGTCCACGATTCAACAATATACAAGCAAGCAGCGAATTCTTCTTCTTTTTCTTTAATACCGGGATATTTAACTGTAATTTGGATATATAGCTGTATCAGCAATTACATTTTAAATATTTCAAAGAGATGCGCATTGCTGACCCATTCAATTTTAATTTTAATTTTAACCCTAACATCATAATTCATTTTTTAAACGGTTAAAATACTTCCCTTTTATTTAATTTTTTCCTGCCAATTTAATTTTCTCTCCTTTATTAGCAATAATTATTGCTGTAACTTTGAAATTATTTGAATTACCTTTTGAAATGCTACAAAAACACTAAATCACAGTTTCTCTTAATTCGTTAAACTAAAATTATAATTAGAATTATTAACTTTCATTCGTTCAGCTTATTTTGACTAGCTTACTTAAGTATATGTGGTAAATGAGTAAACAAGAAGTGAATAATGAAATAATGTGATCAGAAAGCTAGCAAATTGAAAAAAAAAAACTTTTAAAAAATTCATGGGAATGATGAATTAAAATTTAACTGAGAATGATTGACCAGAATTTAAAAATGTGCAGGAAAATATGAAATGCTGGATTGGTTTATAAATGAACTGATAACTCTTAAATTTGCTACAAAATTATAAAAATCAAAATACAAAATTGGCATATTTTCTTGCATACAAATTATGACAGAATACTTTTTCAATCTTCCAATTCTATTTTATCATTCTTTAGTCATGCAATAAACAATACTAAAAGATCGAATTAGTTTATATTGTCAGAATTTCAATTCAACCGTTATTTCATAATCAAACATGAGCATAGCATCAAATTTACAGTCAATTCAATGAATGATTCAAATCGAAATACAACTTAAATTTAATAGAGAATAAATTAAAGAGGAAAAAAAGTAGAGCAAAAATTACGATTGCAAAATATTAATACTAATTGGAATGGTTAGAGAGGGAGAAAGAGAGAGAGAGAGAGAGAGAGAGAGAGAGAGNNNGAGAGAGAGAGAGAGAGAGAGAGAGAGAGAGAGAAAAAGAGAAGCAAATAAATGATTATTTTACTGTCCATTCTTCTATTAATTAATTCTCAATGAATAGTAAAGTGTATTTTTTTCGATTACAAAAAGCAATTTGCAACGATCAATTCCGTTGACACATTTATTATTCATTCATTGCTCATGCTATAAAAAAGAAAAAATCTTGCAAAATTAGTTATATCGGAGAAAAATATTAAATTTAAAGGTGAAATAACTATATTACACGTAGGTCAATTTCAGGTCATTATAAAACAATAAATACTCAGAGAGTTATAGAGAGCTTGAAATGATTTGAAAATAAAAATGAATGTTATCGATGCGCGTATGCAAATGTGTGATGATGAAAATGATGCTAAGCTGTAAATGATTGGTATGTGTGTGTATGTCTGTGTATGTGTGTGTATGTGCGTGTGTGTGTGTGTGTGTATATATATATATGTATGTGTGCGTATATGTATATGTATATAAGTGAGGTGTATGGGGGGTAAGTGTATGTGCAAGTTTATTTCCCGGAGAACCAACAAAATATGCATAAAATTGATTCTGCCCCGTTCCATTCTAAAAAAAAAAAAAA